CCTCCCTTTCAACCTTCTTCTGCCCAGGAGGGACTCCAAAATGTCCTCCATTTTGACCATTGCTTATATTTCTAGGAGTGTTTTTATTATCCTCCTATTTTGAGCATGGCTAAGAAGCATGCATTTACATTCCTAGGAGTGTTCTTAGCTCAGGGTGATCAAACGTCCTCCTTTTCCAGGACTTGTCCTACATTTCAGCCTTCTGCCCAGGAGGAATGCCAGAGTGCCCTCTGTTTTGAGCATGACTAAGAAGCATGGAATTATATTTCTAGGAGTGTTTTCAGCTTTTATTTAATCATGTTTCCCTAGATTTTGCGGTACCTTGTCCTCCTTAGTCTGGCCACCTGGCCACCTTAGTCGAACAGTGGCAGTGCCTCACCAAACTACAAATCCCAGGATTCTAGGATGGAGCCGTGGCAGTACAAAGTGGGGTTTGTTGTTGTTGTTGTTGTTGTGTACCTTCAAGTCGTTTCTGACTTATGGTGACCCTATGGCAACCCTCTCATGGGGTTTTCTTGGCAGGAGTTCTTCAGAGGGGGTTTGTCATGGCCATCCTCTGAGGCTGAGAGAGTGTGACTTGCCCAAGGTAACCCAGTGGGTTTTCGTAGCAGAGCTAGGATTTGAACCTTAGTCTCCAGAATCATAGTCTTAATACTCAAACCATTATACCACACTGGCTCCCTAAAGTGGGGTAAAACTGTTATTTCTACAATATAGATGCAACCCCTGGTTTCCTGGGTCTAGCAGCCTGGTCTAATGATAGAGGAGGGAGGGAGGGAGCCTCCTTCTTTGGAGGTTTTTAAACAGAGACTGGATGGCTGTCTGTAGGAGGAGGCTTTGATTGTGTGTTCCTGCATGGCAGAATGAATCATAGAATCATAGAGTTGGAAGAGGCCACAAGGGCCATCCAGTCCAACCCCCTGTCATGCAGGAACTCCCAGTCAAAGCATCCCTGACAGATGGCCATCCAGCCTTTGCTTAAAGGGGTTGGGCTGAGTGGCCCTTGGGGTCTCTTCCAATTCCAATTCTGAGATTCCAACAGTATGTAGAAGGCTGCCTTCTTGTAGTGGGGTTGGTAAGCAAAGGTCTATCTCCTGTCCTATGATCTTGTGAGTAGTCTTTTGGTGGGGAGGGAAGGAAACAGACCTCTGTGGGAGAAAGGGGTGCTGTGGGTTGGACTGTAGCCCTTGCCAAGTGCCTCCTGGGATCTTTGGAAGACTGTGGTGCAGAGGCATACTAGGCTGCTTCTCAAGATGAAGGGTGCATCTACACTGTGCCATTTTAACCACTATAGCTCCGCTGTCCAGAATCCTGGAATTTGTAGTTTTCTGAGGCATCAGTGTTCTTTGGCAGAGCAGGCTGGAGACCCTGTGAAACTACAAGTCCCAGGATTCCACAGGATGGAGTTACAGGACTTAAAGTGGGGTCAAACTGGATTACAGCTGGCCACCCAGGTCTGCAACTTTGACTTTTGCAGATTTGATTATTTGAGGTTTTGATTAGTATGTTCTCTCTAGGGATCTCTAAATCCTCCAGCACAACTCTGCCAGAAGTTGACCATACAGTTGTGCTGAAGAACCTAGAAGTTCCTAGAGAAAACACTTCTCTCAGCACTTGTAGTTCTCCCAGAATGATTCTTTGATCAACTTCTGGCAGATGTTGACCATAGATTTGCACTGGAGGACTTGGAGATTCCTGGAAAGGTCTTCTCTTAGGTAAAAAGAACATTTTTTTAATTATTTGCTTTTGTCCACATTCACAGAGTCCTGAACTCCTAACCCCAGCGAATGTGGAGGGACCACACTTTATCTACAATGCAGATGCACTTGAAGAATTGATATTTATTGTCTTGTGTCTTCAAGTGATTTCTAACTTATGGCGACCCCAAGATGACTCTTATCACATGGTTTTTTTGGCAAGATTTATTCAGAGCAGGTTTTGCCCTCCCTCTGAAGCTGAGAATGTGTGACTTGGCCAAGGCCGCCCAACAGGTTGGACAGGGAGCTTATATTGTACTCCCAATTCTAGTGTTTTCTGAGGTGCCAGTTTGCATCTGGGGAGAGTTTGCTGTTTATTGTTGTTGTGTGCCTCCAAGTCATTTTTGACTTATGGCAACCCTATGGTGAACCTTTCACAGGGTTTTCTTGGCAAGTTTCTTCAGAGGGGGTGTGCTATTGCTATCCTCTGAGGCCGAGAGAGTGTGATTTGCCCAAGATCACCCCTTGGGTTTTTGTGCTCGAGTGGGGAATCAAACCCTGATCTCTAGAGTCGTAGTCCAATACTCAAACCACTGCGAAACCTGGAATGAAATGAAATGAAAAATTCCATCCTATTTGAAATGAAAAACACCACCATTTTGTTTGTTTATTTGTTTGTTTGAAAAGCCCAGGAAATGGAAGGCAGTCTTGAAAACACTGATAGTGGGCCAAGTTAGAAAGTCAAGGTATTCACAACAGTCTCTATTGCTGTTACTTTCTAACAAATAGTAAATGTCTAGTAAATAGCAATGTCCTGAATCAATGATGTGTCATATTGAGCTTTTGTGAAATCAACACCTTTTTTGACAACATGGTATACTTTTTAAGTTAAGGAACATGCTGTAGTTTCATCTGATTACTGGTAATAGAAATTCATACTGAAGGAACAGATGTGTTGAATTTCACAATCGTAGTTTAACCGCTTTGTTATTAGCGTGTGTATATATGTGGCAACATTTAGTTCTGCTTTTTTTTTTTTACTCTAATCACTGCTGTGCACACAATTAACCAACCCTTGATATACAGTTTAGTAATACTAAGAATATTTTGTATTTTACATATGCTCCAGGTAGTTAAACATTATCAACAGTCCTGGCAAAGACCTGTAAAGTAGGCTGTCATTATTATCTCAGAACTAAAACTTTAAGTGGGCTGAGACTAAAATAATAGGCTAAAAAAAGTTGGGGTGAGAGTTGAATTGTCCATTTCCTGAGTCCTACTGCTACACCAACTCTTTATGTATGTGTATATATGTCTGTTTTAAAAATTGAGAAAGTTTTAGTCCTTTACTGGTGTGTGCATTTCTAATATGAATAAGAATAGCATAATTTGATTATTGCAGTGAAACAAATATTTTTAAAAGAGACATGATTAAGCATTGAGTGCTACACGGATTTAAGAATGTAATTTAGAATGTACTTTCTGAGCCTATTAATGCAAATTTAAATGGAAGCAAATCACTGGACTGACTACCCCCCTCCCATATGAATTGCTGTCTGAGAGTGTTTTATATGATTGTCATGTGTGTTTCTATGTTATGCTTTAATAATGTTTGGCAGTTGCTAAAGAAAATGATTGAAATTACAGTACCAAAGTTTGATGATGAGCTCCTCCTTCTGTTGCACTGGTGTGTTTGAGTCCTGTGGCTGATGATATCAATTACATATCACACCAAAGCACTACTGGGTCACTTCATGACTGCTCCTTATTGTTTGGACTGAGCTCTGAAAAGCAAGATCTTATTTATTGAATTGGTTGAAGAAAGAGACCCTTAGTAGTCGTCCCCCAATACAAAACAAATGCTGCTCATGACTCATTTCAGTGGTGGCATCCATCCTTTGGAAAACTCCCCCCACAAATGAACATATCATTGAAATGTTCACTATTGAAAACAATAATGGTTGGTAAAGTGGAGGGAATAGGAAAAGAAGAAGATGGATAGCTTCAGTCAGGGAAGATTGCAACACCTGAGCAGGGCAGTTGAAGATAGGGTGGCTTGGAGGTCTCTCATTCATAGGGTCGCCATAAGTCAAAGTTGACATGAAGGCTGCTAAAAACAAATACTCTTAATTTAATCTGTTGTAGAATTGTTTTGAATTGTCTTTTATTCACTGCTCTTTAGGAAATATAAATTATCTAAGAATCTAAACTTGGGGCCTTTGCAGACTGCTAGAAAAAGTGCAAATTGAGTCCACTTTAAGGGTTAGGGTTAGGGAGTCATGGGAACTGTATTTTATTGTGGCATCAGAGCTCTCTGACAGAGAAGACTCAATGTCTCAGGAAAAAAAAAATTCTCATGATTCCCTAGTACTAACCCTAACCCTTAAAGTGGACTCAGTTTGCACTATTTCTGGCAGTCTGCAAAGGCCCTTATTTTTACTTGCCTAATTTATTATGCTTTGGCATGGATGTGACTAAAAATACTGCCTCTTGTTTGTTCATCAGGGCAGCTGGAAAGCGCAATGAGTGTCAAGGCTTTCAAGCTTGTCCCCGCAGTTGAGCGGGAAATGCTGATGGGTGACAAAGCTCGGATCAATATCGAATGCATTGAATGCTGTGGAAGGAACCTCTATATTGGCACCAATGATGGGTCGATCTGCCACTTCCTCTTGGAAGAAAAAAATTCACCAGCAGAAAAAGCAACTTTTTCCGTCACCAAACAGCTACAGAAATACTTAAGTTTTCGGAAGGCCGTGGGGGAATTGAAAGCAGCTTCAGCTCTTAATCGCCTTCTAGTACTTTGTGACAATACTATAACATTGATGAACATGATGAACCTGGAGCCCATCCCTACAGGGGCACGAATCAAGGGAGCTTTGACATTCACTCTGAATGAGAACCCCGTGAACGAGGACCCATTCTGTGTTGAGGTTTGTATTGTTTCTCTCAAACGGAGGACCATTCAGCTGTTCTTAGTTTATGAAGACAAAGTCCAGATTGTGAAGGAAATTTCCACTCAGGAACAGCCCCTTGCTGTAGCTGTAGATGGCCACTATTTATGCCTTGCTCTGACCACCCAGTATATTATACTGAATTACAACACTGGAGTCTCCCAGGATCTGTTTCCATACTCTAGCGAAGAGAGACGACCAATTGTGAAAAGGATAGGCAGACAAGAGTTCCTGTTGGCGGGACCTGGAGGACTAGGTAAGGTTACAGTAAATCTTGCATCCTCATTTGAAAGATTTTTGCCTTGTCTGTATGTAAGCTTTTCTTCAAGGTCCAGCAAAGCTTGCTCTACTCAAATGTGAACACACTCTTTTGCCTAATTGTATTTATTTTTTATCTATTTTTCTTAATATATGACTAATTTTCTGTAAAACCACTGAGATAGAGTGGAGTAACTCAGATAATAAAAATAATATAAACAAAAATATCATCGAAGTATTAAAAACAAGAACACAGTTTAAAATAATTGAAGACACTAAAAGGGCAATGCCCTAGTAAATCCTTACATATTGTCAATTTCACAATATCCTGTTACTGCAAAACAGACTAGGATTTCACAGGAAGATGGCATACAGACAATAAATAAATAAGAATGTTAAAGGTAAACTTTAACAGCACATTAGGCTGAAGTCAAGGCCAATGCCCATTAATACCTTTGATTCTTGTATTTCTATATCATATACAATGGTGGGTGGGTTGGTTTGTGCTTACAATTATTCTCTTCCTCTAGTTGAGCAAATCCACCTTTGCCCCCTGCTTACCACCCCCCGCCGACCCCTGCCACCGCTGCTGCAAGTTTCTGCGGCTGCAACACATTTGCGCATGCGCAGGAGTACTGTGCATGTGCAAATGAGTCGCGGCCGCCATTTTGGCAAAACAAAATGGCATGCGCAAACGCGTCGCGGCCACTATTTTGGAAGACAAAATGGCAGGTGCGACATGCGCGACAGCGGCAGCGCATGCGGCGGGGGT